CCCCCCCCCCCCCAGAGATGCGCAGCTACAAGGACAGGCAGAAGCTCCATAAACGCGATTGATTGGGGGGAAGACAGAAACGACCAGGAACCGAAACACCAATGGGAACGCCATATAGCTCCAAAACCGATGGACCCTGCTGCATCAGACGCGTCGAACAAATCGGGAAGCTGGGATACGCCAGGCGACAAGAAGAAGCTGGTGCCATCCAATCACGAAAAAAAGCGAGCCACCAGTGGACATCCCGACGAAAATCGACGTTAAGGCGAATTGGGTGCGAGCGATTGCGAAAATAAGCCAGAATTGAAGATCAATCATACGGCGCAAAAACGTTCTCCCAGGACGGACAACTTTGCACGCGTGGTGGAGGTGGCCAATCAAGGACTTTAATTCCTGACGGTGACAAGTAGGCTTGTTGGACAAGACTGGAGGAGTGACATGGAACGGTTGAACTTTTCGGCTGGCAACCTATCAATTTGAGTGACCGAGTACAATATATATAGTCGAGCACAATATATACCTAAGAACACCAAGCAGGTTGCTGGGCCCTCGCTTTCTCATGGTTAAGAGGGAGGAAACCCAAGTGGTTGAAGACGGTAACAAAGTGTCGACGTGGGCTTGGCACACGGGAGACGACGGGGGACCCAAAGTTAAGAAATCATCGAGGTAGTGGACCAACGGGTGAACGTGGTAGTTGTTGAAAGAATCCAATGAACAACAGATGCCACCGCATCAAAAAGGAATTGAGGAGACCTGAGGCCAAAAGGTAGCACCAAGTCCACATAGAAAAGTCTCGCCAGTACATGCCTAACAGATGTCGGTCGGAGACGTTGATCGGAATGTTACGGTAGGCAGCCTGAACGTCGAACTTGGCCATTAGGGCCCCGGGACCAATGACAACGAGGGATCTGATAGCGTCGTCAACGGAAATGTATCGCATAGAGAAGGGATCCTTAGGTAAACCATCGTTAACGCTTGCTCCTTGGGGAGAGGAAAAGGTCAGGGATGAGGCGCCACTTCCCCGGTTGATGACGTTTCGGAATAACCCCAAACGGTCTGGTTTGAGAGAGGACGGTGGGGGGGGGGGGGTTACGGGTAAGGACCAGCCACCCGGCGTTAAGCGACTTCTGTCGAGAGATATTTGTCGATGACGTCCGGGTGTTGAGACGCCGACGTGAGATTGCGGAGCGACGGACAAAGGACCACACGCTCTGGAACGAAACCCACACGGAAACCATCGCGAATGCCCGCCAGCACATACTCCTTGCCCGGACTAGGATACTCCCAGAGCTCGTGCACAAAGGCTTCGAGATTGCGAGGGCAAATAGAGCCGATCGTGAACGAGGATAAGGGGTGAGGGGTAGGTCCTAGAAAAAGATCAAGGATGAGAGATATGTAGCCCCCCCCCGACAAAAAAAAACCACTCCAACACAAACGAGTTAGAATACAATTTTATCGGTTAATGATAGACTAAAGAGACTAGACTACAAAATGTAGGTATGTATGTATTGACTTAACCACACGACAATTCTATCAGTCCAGAACAACAATGAGGCCGACGAGTGAAGCTCACGAACAACACGGCCGACGCCACGCTGAATAAATATCATACAGCGGAGAATCGACAACGTAACAGAACAATTAACAATATCAACGTTTTGAGAAAAAAGGAGACGCGCTTACGATGTCCTATGTGTGTGACTGGGTCGTTTCCGCAGGGACGTTAAAAGGACAAACAAATACGTCTATGCGACCCCCCACATGCCAAACGATCACAACCATGACAATATCGACACTGCCTGCCAAAGGCAGTGCAACGCCCACTGTTCCAGGACCTGCAAAAAAAGGACGACGAAGGGGTACTGGAATCCGCATGTTAAACGCGACTCGGGGAACGCGGAACACGAACCGCGGCGGTGTGGATGTTAAATAGCTCCACGTTCATGTTTGACCAATCAGGCAAACCCCGGGCGGCGGCGTCGCGGCGAACAGCCTCGTCGTAATTGCGCCAGGCGATGGATGGCGAAGGATAACCATAGCCGACCGCGCTCTGCGAAGGGCCTGGGAACGACACGCTCTGAAATCCAACATGGCGGGCATCTGAAGTCGGGAATGTAGAAGGAGACGATAAATTCGAACCCAAACGAGACAGGAACGGCGAAGTCGACGGTAAACTAACGTTCCACGACGACATAGTGTTTGGCAATGATCTTGTAGACGAAACTGCTGCGCCATAAGATGGATAAACTTGAGCTAAAGTACTGTTATTTTCAGCGATCGAGTAAACGATATTATCTGACGAATTCTGCAGCGATTGTGATACTTCTGGCACAGGCGAAGAGGAAGCAAGCGCCATTGAGTCAACGTTTGAAATAGATGATCCAGATTCACGAGGGATTAAACGAGCCATCAGCGATGCTCGAAGTGTTTGGAACGACTAAATGTCACGACTGAGAATGAGCTACTGGCGTAAACAACTTAAATATAAGGTAGGTTATGCAAATGCCCTCATTATAATTTGCCAAGCTGTTCCTGGGGCCCCCTATTCTGATAACAAGTACAACAACTCAGCTCGTTATTAATATCCTTTATTTCATAAATCCAATAAATAATGTGTTTTAATTTATTAAACAGCATGAGCTCCACCGGCTTTGAATTTACTATATGAGTAAATTGTTAAACACGTCCAAATTTATCATATGATAAACTCGCGGCACCTAACACTAACCCCAGCCCTAACCCCCTAACCCTTATCTAACTTTTTAAAACTTTTTCGAAAATCCAACTTTTTAAACTTTTTTTTACTTTTTAATTTTTTTTTTAAATTCGGACGTATTTAACAATTTACTCGTATAGCATATTCAAAGCACCTGTTGGTTTTACTAAGCAAGCTGGTATACATGAAATTGCAGCGAATGTTATCGTTCACTAAACTAGCGCATCAGTTGCGTTTTTATGTTTGTTTATATATAGAGAATAATACATGGGTGCGCGGAAACACCAGATTTATTTCGAGTGTTGAACATGATATCTCACGAGTGAGCGCAGCGAACGAGTGAGATATCATGTTCAAAACGAGAAATAAATCTGGTATTTCCAAGCACCATGCATGGCCATGTATTTTCCTGTTTATTAAAGGACAGTCTTTGAAAAGCGATAACTTTTACAGAAAAGCGATAATTGAAAAGCGATAATTTTCACATGTGAAATTATCATAAATAATCTCACATGTGAGATTATCAATTTTAACAGTGCTCGAAATCTTTATAAAGCACTATTACTTTATATATACACAGGACGAAAAGCGCACCTTTAATATGCTATTAAAGTAGGATTAATGGTGTATTTTATTCGTGTTTAGTCGCACTTAATGCGTTTTCTTAAAGAGATTAAAGGTGCGTTTTAACACCTTTAGTTCGTTGCATTAAGTGTATTAACGACCACATTAATATACCAGGGGCCGGTTGTATAAAAACGTAGTTAGCGCTAACTGCAGTTAAAAAGTAGTTAAAAAGTGGTTAACTTTAATCACGTAGTTAAGCCGGTTGTATAAAAGTGTAGTTAGCCTTAACTGCAGTTAAAAAGTAGTTAAAGTTAACTATGCTTTTGGGTATAGTTAACTGTCCAAAACGTAGTTAAAAATGGCGTTTGTATAGGAGTGAACAACATTTTTCAGTAAAACAACAATGAAAAGCAACGGTTACCTGAGATTTTCAATCGCTATCTTCCCTGTGAATGTTTCCTGACAATATAAACTCTTCAAACGCTATCGCTTTGGTGTTTTTACGAAAACAGAACATATTTTTGCACAGGACGATTTCTCGAAGACGAAGTATGGTCCATTACACCAAGAAACACTGATATATAATTGCCAAACAGCATTATCTTGGTTTAACGTAGGCATTTCAAGGAAAAACTGCATTCTTTTATGATTTTTGTGGCGGTTTTTCCTTGTTTTCTTGTATGTTTTTCATTGTTTTTCTAGTGTTTTGAATAAATTTCCCGCCTATTTGCAAAATACGAGTCCACAATCATATTGAAAATGTGTGTCAGCGGTCGTTATTCGCTGCTTACTTTATGTAATTTTGTGTTTAAACGCCCCACGCAAGCCCCACGCACAGTTAACTACGTGATTAGTTAACTATCCGACTAACTACGTTTTGTGCAACGCAGTTAAGTCATGTAGATAACTAATTACAGTTAAGGATTTAACTACAGTGATTAACGCTAACTACAGTTAGCGCTAATTACGTTTTTATACAACCGGCCCCAGAGATTAAAGTTCAATAAAGGATACTAAGTGTGCATTTAATTCGGCTGATTAAAGACTGATAAAATGCGGTTAAAGATGTATTTAGTCGCCTTTAATATTGGTAGAATTGTTGATTAAAGACAACTTTAATCATACAAAAATGTGTTGCTTATAGGTTATTAAAGGTAAATTTAATCAGTTGATTAAAGACCGCTTAAACCGATATAAAGAATGAATTAATCACATTTCATACATTGATTAAACTTTGTGTAAGTGCCATTTTAGTTCTATTTAGTCGCTCTATTATATTTGCAATAAGTTGCATCGCTTGTGAAGTTGGGCTTTTTATTGCGCTTTTTAAATTGAAAATCTCGAATTTGTGTCATATTTTCTGACAATACAGTATTATTCATGGATCATAATTACAAAAACCCGGTCTTGCTTGACTCAAGGTTCATGCTTCGGTAATTATTATAAGAACATGTAAAAATCAGAGTAATCATTTGTAATGATGAAATGCAACATTAACTCAAATATACAACACGCGTTCATCTTTAAAATAAATTTATTATAACATATACATATACTACACCCGTTCATGTATGAAAATGAAATGAAAATTATATATCGAAACGAAAATTATATATATAAGCCCAGACTAATCCTTTCTCGCATAGCGTTCTCACGTACGATATTGTTATCCGTTTACAAGGAAATATAGAAAACACTATACGAAAACGGATTTGTGCGGACAAAGACCCAGTATAAAAACGGAACCTAAAATTATCACGTTTTGAGATTGGCTTTGTAAGATAAAAGTGACTAATGTTTGTGACTCGTTCTTTAGAAAATTCTTTTCAGCTGGCAAGAATTGTTGCCAATTTATGTACAATACACTGTAAATTTCAAGGAGTCTGTATAATTAACTCCAAAATGTTATTCTGTAGTCGTTTTAGACCTTTTTGGTTACAAAATAAAACATTTTGAGTTGATTGACTTAAGAAAGCTCGTAAATCAGAATCATGTATAGATTGGGACATGTATAAACACAAAAAACGCATAGTTACTAATTTGATTAAAAAATCAAAACAACGCTACTTTCAAGATTCGATTGAAGAAAACAAAGATGACCCTAAAGGAATATGGAAAGATCTAAAGCAATTAGCAAAAACACAAAAACCATCTATTAAAATAGCAGAGCTGACTGACGATCACGGAAATAAGTACACGGGGCCACAGGAAATATCCGAAATCATGAATAATTTCTTTATTAACATCTTAAAACAAGTGGGAGACAACACGACTCAAGCTGGAGAATTTCTTCATGAACACGTAATTGCGGAGTTTGTATCATCGAAGATCTTAGACGATCAAGCCCAGTTTAGCATTCCTGAAATAACGAGTAAAGATGTCCAAGAAATAATAGATAAACTGTCAAATAATGAAGCTACAGGTTCTGATGGAATAAGTGTGAAACTCCTTAAACTGATTGCACCGGTTTTTTGCGAACCATTAACTAAATTGTTAAATTACTCGATAGCCACCAATACATTTCCATCTGCATGGAAGATGGCTCGTGTTACCCCCCTTTATAAAGATGGAGAACGTGATCAGAGTAATAACTACCGACCAATATCAGTATTATCTGTATTGTCGAAGATTCTTGAAAAGCACGTGGCCAAATCCTTAATGAATTATCTTGTAAACAACAACTTATTATATGAACTACAATCTGCATTTCGAGAAGGTCATTCTACAGAATCAGCGTTGATAAAACTTACTGATCAAATATTGTCAAACATGGATCAAGATAATGTTACTGGCGTCTTGTTTATAGACTTTAAGAAGGCGTTTGACATTGTGGACCATCAAATTATGCTAAAGAAACTTAAACTATACAGAGCTAGTGAGTCTACCCTTCAATGGTTTAAATCGTACCTTACCAACCGATCGCAATTCGTTACAATTGATGGTAAACAATCTCGACCACAATTTGTAACACACGGCGTACCTCAGGGATCTGTATTGGGCCCTATATTGTTCCTTCTGTTTGTCAACGATATTCCCCTTCATGTTCCAAATTCGAACTTAGATATATTTGCAGATGACACAACGTTATCAGCTAGTACACAGTGGACAAATATCCCTTCCATGGTTCAAGATTTGAAAAAAGACCTCGATAGTATATGTAATTGGTCCATTAACAACAAAATGGTCATCAATACGGAAAAGACCAAATCTATGCTTGTTACCGGAAAGCGTTTAAGGAAAAAAATACCAGACGAACATCTTCAAATGGATCTTGCTTTAGGAAGTACGACAGTATCCCAAGTAGAAAGTCAAAAAATCCTTGGTGTTATAGTAGATCAAGATTTAGCATATGAAGATCATATAGACAGTCTATGTAAACAGATCTCAAAACGACTCGGTCTGCTGAAGCACATCAGTCCATATTTAAAAAAACAACAAAGAGAAATTTATTATAATGGGATCATTAAACCGAAGCTTATGTATGGAAGTGCTGTATGGTCATGTTGCAGTAAAGAGAATCTTGACAGAATACTGAAACTACAAAAGAGGGCAGCAAGGATTATTTTAAGCGTGGAAAAGACAACGCCTTCGAAAACTCTCTTCAATGGGTTAAATTGGATTCCTTTCACTGATGAACTATTTATTAGAAGAAGTAGTATAGTTTACAAACGTGTAAAAGACTCATACAACTGTCCTATATATATTAATTCTATGCTGGTGAGAAATTCTGACATCCACAATCGAGAAACACGTTTTTCCAAGATTAACATGATATGCCCCCGATATAATCGAATAACGGAAGGTGGAAAAACATTCGCAGTGAGGGCTATCAAAGACTGGAATACTATTAATGTAAAAATCAGGAATTCTGCAAGCCTATACAGTTTTAAACATAGACTATACAAGGACTTTTTAGATGCTCAAAAACTTTCCTAATTTTAAAGTACTTAAAACAATTAACTTTAATTGTAGTTATTATAATGATTCTTCACTTCATGTATATATATTTTAATATCCTTAGACTTAGAAATACTGTAAGAATGCTACCAGAGGACCACGGAGTTATCAGTATTCGTACTGTCAAGTGTTATCCTCTATAAATAAAGTCTCTTATTATATTATTATTATTATTGAACTCCTTGAAATTTACAGTGTACACAGCTAAATTCACTTATATTGCCCTGGAAACGGTAAAAGGCAATTAAGACTAAAACAGAGCGGGCAAAGCCAAGCGAATAATGCAAATCCTTAAATTTTTAGCGCTGGTTCTAACTGGTAGCTGTTTCATAATGTATTTCAAGTAAATAACGAGCCCGTTCCCTCTATATAGTGGCGGATTTGTGTCAACATCTGCGACTTGCGCTGGTCCATTTTAAACCTCATATGTGCCCAATCTGCATGGACAGTTGGCCGTGTTCACTGGTTTGCCAGGTTCGATGGTTCCCCTTGCTATTATGAGTCATGACTCTCCTTGATAGTCCAGGCAGAAAATCCTAGTGATTCTTTATCGATTCTTCTTTGCTTTCCCAGGCAAACTTTCGCACGTTGTACTGTTTCACCCTATAAGTTTCTTCGTCCATCTAGCTCACTTTTGTCGGATGAGATGTACTCCATCGTCGGAGGCCATCTGCCACCTTTGACACTCTTTCCTGGCTCCAGTTAACTTTATTAAGATGTTTGAATGTTCTTGCCAGTTTCTGAAAATGAACACAGATAATATTAGCAACATTATATTGTATGGTAACAGCTAATTGAAAAAATAGGTACGCGACGCGTACATGTATCTGCGAAAAAACTTGATTCACATTTTCATCACTTATTATAATAAATATAATAGCAAATAAGATTTTAAAGTCAAACATAGTACAAATCTAACAAGGCTGTAGACAGCACCACAGAATAAGAAGGTACAGCAGAAGTGTAACGCAAGCAAGTATTTGTCCGCGTTTTTACAAGTGATTTGTCATCAATCACGTCATCCTGGCTAGTACAACCGGCACTTTGCACCTACCAAAACCTTGTACTAGCCAGGATGGTGTGAGTGAGTTAAAATTTTCGTGGACGTAAAAAATAAGGGAACCGACTCAAATTACACTTCTTCTGTACCTTCTTATTCTGTGACAGCACGGAGGGCAGCAGGGGCAACTCACCACCCCCCCCCCCGCCGAGAAAATTTAACTAATTTTTTGTGATGACGATTGGGTCATTGCAGAAAACATTCATACCACCCCCACAGAGGAAATAGGAAGTTAACCCCCCTACTCCCTTTGCATGCCCTGATACATTTACTATTATGAGAAACAATTTTTTCTCCCCTCCCCCTCCGGACGGCAGAAATTTCCTCCGTGGGGAGAGTACTGTTCTTTTCTGGAACGACCCATTGTAACTCGGATAATTATGCAGTCAAAAAATAAAAATTTCATGCAAACAATATTCGAAGTGTCTATTTAGAAAACTGTCACTTGTCAATCCATACCCATTTTCAAAACTTTATTGTAATCATATGAAGCAGAAGTTCTGTCACTTGTTGTTTACACTTGAACATGCATCACTGTAGTGAAGAGTCAATCATACAGTATATCAAAGACCACTGAGAATGTTTTGAAGGTCTAGAGAATGTTTTGAAGGTCATTAGTGAAGTATATAATTCAATTCCAATCCTGTGCACAGTTAATGATATACCACACTGTTCGGTTTAACACAGCATATCCAGACAAGAACAATTTGTGTTGTGGGAGAATATCAGTTTGAGTAGAAGGTATCACAAGTTTAGTTTTGTACATATTGTGTGCCATTGATCTGATCCATCCATATAATATATGATTATTGTAGCTGTTAAGTTATTATCCATACTAATGAATTTAGGTAAGATTGTCTTGCAAGTGGGTTGTTCTGACAAAATTATCTAGCCAAATCCAGTACATTTATTCATCATTCTTGCATTATAATCTCTAAACAAAAACATTTATGTTAGAAAGCAAAATAACAATATAATGAGGAGGGAGAGTGGGGATTCTTTTATTAGCATTTGAAAATGTTTGTAAACATTTTGTTTAAACTCTAATCACTGTTAAACCAAAATGTATACATGAGGAACCGCACTAGGTGCGGAAAAATTAAGGGTGAAGTGTCTGTTGCCATAGAAGTTGTAATTAGGTTTGACAGACACCAATTATAGGCTATTAATAAGAGGAGAAGACACTTTGTAATGCAATACATCGCTTGGTGTGACTGTTAAATATTAAGACATGTATTTAAGTTATTAACGTACAATATGGTTTGTTTACGCTGTCATCACTTTACAAGGAAACTACAAATTATACTGTTTTGCCATAAACGCGCCAAATTAGAATCATCACTGTCTGGTGTACGTAGCTGGCTTGGCGAATGCATGACAAAAGATGCGGTAATGTATTACCGTGTATATTCGCATTGTTTGGATCGAGCCAGATAGAAATTGGTACGCTTATAATTACTGCTTGCCCGGTTCAAGCATATCAAATAGGAATAATGGCATTAAATATATATTGCGATGTTTCCCGTACGAATTCAAGCAGGTCAATATAAAAGACCTAAGCTTCAGGATTACAATGCTAATCCGGTGCCATACCGTTGGTTTAATTCTGGACGGAAAATCGCCGAAGCTTACGTTGTCTCGTCATTCGGTATCTTAACATTCGCGATGAGAAAGCGCAGTTAGCGCGCACTTAACGGTGCGTAGCAGGGCGCTTATATAATGGGCGGTGAAACGCACTCATAGCGGGCTGATCGATGTGTGATGCGGCAGAGGACTGGCACGAGCGTGCTTTTAAACGAAACTGTCGAAGGAGTGAGATTTTTGGCGTTGTGATTTTGTCGCTTTTACGCTGAGGATCAAATATATTTCAAGGATTTTTCGACAGATACAGTTAATGCAGTGTTTGCTTCAACTTACAAAATATCATTATGCTGAAAGAAGGTGTTCAAAAAGATTTTATCGTGGATGAAAGCTATGCCAATCATAGTCATTGGCGGATTGCAAATTTCAGCAACAGATTAGGACTTGTCAACTTGCAACCCCAGGTTGGATCTTTCAGGTACGTAAAAACCACTATTCATTTGTTTTATATAAGAGATAATGTAAAAATCGGAGTTGAGTATTTTTCTCTGTGCTGACCTAAATGCATACACTTTTTCCGCTGTATTTCTGCCTATTTGGTTGCCTCGTGTATTCAAATTATTAAACTGATTACAGTGCATTTTGAGGTGATTTTCCTACTCTTCGTGAAACAATTTATCAATTTTTGGAAATTTAAGAACACTATATAATATCAATGTCAAACTTTAATGGTATTTCAACCATTTTAGCAAAATATCAAAAACAATCGCCAAGGCTTTTTGCAAAGCGCTTCACATGTAAAAGTGCTACCCCAGCTTAGAAAATTTGTGTGCTCGCAGATGAGACAGTTACCTGTCAACATTTTTTGGAAAAAACCAAGATCTAGTTGAGTATTTTCTGCAAAACGTTTTTTAAAGATAGGACAGTCACAAAATCGAAGATCGTCGAACATGAATCGAACATAGTTTGTCAAAGTGTCATGGCAACGATAGCGTGTGCAAAATCGCAAAATGACGAAGGATTTGTCATATTATAAAATATTTGAAATTGAAATAATTTTTAAATATTTGAAATTTCTTACATGAAGTTATTTTCTAAACAAAATGTGTGATAAACGACGAGCAAGTGATTCAGGAAGTCCGTCTACTTCTACTAAGAGGTTCAAGGAAACAACTAATTGTTTACATTTTTCGACAACAACTATAAATATTGATAAAAATAGTTCAACTATGAATGACAACGAAAGACTTCAACCTGTGAATGATTTTGACAGTATTTTCGCAGAAGCTGAACCAACTTCCCTTCAATATAATGGAAAAA